TTATTCCTGTGATGACGGATTCAACTAATTTTCTTTTGATTTCACGATATTGTTGTTTACGTTTGTTTGGGAGAGTAGTAAATCTGTTAAGAAAGGTGAAATAAAGAAAAAGCCTGGGCGTAGATTAATATTTGGATAATATTTAATGGCGGCACTCTCGAGGATTTTCCTTCTGAGTGAGTTATTTTCTTTTTTTTATGAGTGTAGCATTTTTAAAACCAAAATTATGGTTGAATTTATTTCTATGTATGACTAGTGCATTAGCTAAGTTGTTTTTTGTGAGGTCTCTTTTGTGCTCATAAATGCGTTTTTTTAAAAAATCTCTACTTGTTTCTCCAATATATTGGGAGGAACAGTTTTGGAAATTTATTTTATAAATACTGCCTTCAGACAGATTATTGCTATTAGTGTTTGAGGATCTGTGTATATCCATAATTGTTTTCGAAGTGTTTGTGACTATTTTAACTTTTTATTTTTTATTTTTTTTTCACTATTAGTTACTTTGTTTAATAAATTCATTACGTGTTTTGTCTTGAAAAAGTCCACATCGGACGAACGCGTCGGCAACTATTACTACAGTTTTCCTATTGTCTTTTACATTTATAAATATTGTCATTTTATACAGGTTAACTCTGAGAAATTTATATATATATATATATATATATATATATATATATATATATATATATATATATATATAATGGATTTATTTTCAATCCGGCAATTCTATTATTTCAAACATTATTATAGTGCATACTAATATTTGAATTAGACGACCAGTTTCATTTTTACTTTAAACTGTGTATATCACGTTTGTCTGTCTGCGTATTTGAGAAATCTCCATAAAAAAGGTTCTTTCCGGCAGGAATCGAACGTCTATTTTCAAATACGTGTATCCAAAAAAAATAATCAAATTGAACCCTCGTGCAAAATTATTGAAACAACCGCTTTAGTTTCCTTTCTTTCACCAAACGGTCTGTTTTAGACCGATTTATTTTTTCCACTGATTAGGTCATTTGCAATGGTTTACAGTAATATGAATCTGTTTTCTGGGTGTATAATGAAATTTGTCTGGCCTTGAAAAATATTAGGTCATCCATGATTGCATCAGATTTTTATCACGCTTAGACACTATTGTCTCGACTGTCGATTAGTTGTCCTACTACTATTGTCTGTGATGGGATTTACTCCAAGGAAGCGTACGAAAAGTGTAACGTTGCACGAATAGACAGGTAAGCCTAACCAGTGAGCAAATCAAAGTACTATAGACTGGCCTGGAAACTCTCCTGATTTAAATCCAATCGACAATCTGGGGTCAATCTGCAAGGGATGACTGCGGGAAATCGACATACGAATATATATGTCCACATGGTCGTGCTTCATTGGAAAAATACGAAAAAGTAAATTATAAAAGAAATTATTCGTTTTGTTTCAATTAATTTGCACAAGGATGTATAAATTTAAATTTTGGATCAACTGGATATTTTTTGCACAATCATTTCAATTTTAGCCTTTTTCCCATATGTTTTTGTAAGTTTTATGTATTCTTTATAAAAATTAAAGGATACAAAATCTCAAGAAACGATCTTATTTGGCACAAAAATTTGGCATGTAAAGATTTGAGAACTTCCTGGGTATGAAAATAAAATACATCCGGTAGCAAAGCTTCCGATCTGGAGGTTTTGAAGAGTGTGGAGACACATATTAATTGCTGTTTTTCCAGGTTCACTCATACTCGGGGTGATAGCTCTTGTCATGGACCCAGCTATGGGCAAATAGTGAGCACCCCCAACCCCAAAAAAAAAAAAAACAGTACGAACGTATAAAAATACATTTGGATAGCAAAAATACCAACAATACATTTTTATTTAAAAAGAGCCTGAAAATAGATCATCAGTAATGCATTTTATTTGTAGCTGGAGGCATATCATTGCATTGAAAATATATTTAGCTGAAGCCATAAAATTGTGTTCAAATTATTTATATTTCAGCATTAAATGAAATGTTGATTTGCCGCTAAACAAAATCAACGAACCAAGATTTCCAAAGTATGTCAGACATCACTTTTTTGATAGATTTCACCCCAAGCAACGTAGTAAAGTCACTAAGACACAAGGTGTGTGGAAGAATTGGAAAACAGAAACTTTACTAAGAAGCAAGAACAAAAAAAGAGTAATCAGGAGGAGGGTAGAAAGCATATGGAAATTAAAATTAATTTTTTTAAAATTAAAGTTGGCTGAAAAACATGGAACCTGAAGAAAGTTCCACAAGCGAGAAGTGCTACACTTAAAAAGAGAACTAGTAGAATTCAGCATACTTTTTTTATTCCCTACGACGGTGGCAATTGACTGCTTTTACTTATAAATATGGCAAGTAGCCACATTAGAGTAGGATTTGAGTAATAGTTGATTTAGTCAAGTTTCTTTCGGTAAAATGTATGAGGATTTAATTCTTTAGTGTTTTTCTTATCCAGTCTTCTGTTCCTTCTATACGATCTCTATAAAGATACAAGGGCGTTCTAAAACGAAACATGAAGAAATGTGACATTGACATCAACAGTGCAATCCAGTGCAATGGACAGGAATCGCTGGAGGTCCATTGTCAGAGATGGAAAAACAATCAAACCAAACGATCAGCCGAAGTAAAGACAAACCGAAGACGTCGAAAAGAAAGACAACATCAACAGCCGAGGCCTAATCCACCATCCAGAACAACCTGTTCTCAGTATCTAAGGACATTTCAAACCAAAGTCGGCCTCATTAACCAGCTCAGAGTCCACAAACCCAACTGAGTGGAGCAAACAAAACACGACCGTCATCCTCGTCCTCGACAGATAAACACGGCCCGATAGGATGATTTGCGACCACTAATACTAAATCGTACTTAAAAGTAATTTTGATAACCATTAAAAACAGGACAGGAAAATTCAATTCTTCATTCAATATCGTTCATTAACGTCTGAGCCAAGAAGGAGCTCCAACAGCAAGACCTCTGATCAGGAGATTGGTGATTTTGAGGATCAAAACAAATTCATGAATAGTTATATTCGATAAGCCATCAAGAAAAGTCGTTACATTTCGCTGACCTTAGCTCAATTATCTTCTCTATATATGCCATAAACTGCGCCTGTCCCTCTGTAACTATTTATCTTGAGTGGCTCTTGGGCGTTGTACAGGGTGGACAAAAATAATAATTCGACACAACTATGATCAAATAAGGTGTGTGGTTTATCTACGAAACATTTAGAAATGTGACATCAACGTCAAAAGATAGGGAATCCAGTGCAATGGACACGAATCTCTGGAGATCCATTGTCAGAGACGGAATATAATCCAAACGATCAGCCGAACTAGAGGGAAAACAGAAGACGTCGAAAAGAAAGACAACAAAAACGAGGCCAGACAAGTTAATGGTTAGGAGCATGAAATGATCCTGGTCATCTAGAACGATCAAAGCACATGAATGAAAAAAAAATGTATCAGGCAACCGCTCTCCAGCTGCATAGACAGATACGCATCAAGAGACAGATACACTAACGGGCGTTAAGCGGCCGTTAATTTCAACTGTATGGATCAACCAATTCTAGTTGAGGTTGATAGGAGACTTTTTGTTGTAGTGTATAACTCAGCGTACTCCCTGTTATTCACTACTACACTTTTCTACGACTGATTCTATTCATAAAAATGGCAAGTAGACACATTAGAGTAGGATTTGAGTAGTAGTTGATTTGTTAACATTTTTCCGTAAAATGTATGAGGATTAAATAAAACTCTTCTTTGTTTACCCTACCTAGTCTTGTATTCTTTCGATTCTCTCTCTAACTATAGTCTTCCTAATTCTCGGCTATTTTGAACAAAGACAAAATTACAACAATAAGCGTCAGGCTCCAGTGAAAATGTCCCAAGTAAAACCTGATAAGACTAAAACTGAATTATTAAAATAGCTACCCTAAGATCTAAAATAATTCAATTACTTCCTTCGGTCAACCTCATCTCCACGGCACGGTTTTTACTTGGTAGAGCACGCTTATCATTTTTCAAATAATTTTCTTTGCGGCACGAATGTTATGGTCAGGCAATTTTTTTTAAAATCTCCGTTTTAAAATAAGCGGGGATTTTGAGGTGAAAATCAGCAGCGACAGTATCTGTCTAAAAAACTTAATGACAAAATAAGGAAAAATAGGAAACGTTTATAAATTGAACATATTTCGCTTTAATTTAAGCTTCATCAGATTTTGTTTTGGAAATGAGTTATATATCCTGTATATTTGAGTACTGTACTCAATGGTCAGTGTTTATGCATTGTGCTATTAGTGTGCGTGTAAGTGTGTGTGTGTGTGTGTGTGTGTGTGTGTGTGTGTGTGTGTGTGTGTGTGTGTGTGTGATTGTTTTTCTTTCTGGATTCCACTGAGGCAATTTTGTGTTTCTCTGATAGTCTCTTGAATATGATAGTGGGAGGAAAATGAGAATGGTGTACCTGTATTTGCACGTATCACATTTCTAGCTGGTCTTGCAGGAATTGGTGGTGTCGGTATGTGTGTTGACTCTTGGTTAGAGGTGCGTTAGTAATGTTGGGGTGAATTCTATATTGTGTATCAGAAGATGTGTACGCTGGTGTGTACGTGTGTTCCCATAAATCTATTAAAGACATTATTAATATAGTCATTGTAAGTAGGCTCAAAAAAATAAAACGGAGGTCTATAATATCTTCACAGCAATCTACTCACGTTGTGTACATTTTTAGGATTGTAAAATCTGTAATAAAGTACATATATATTTCCGTTTCAGTACAGCTATCTAAAACCGGTGATTTTTTATCGTTATAATAACGGATATCAGTCGGACAGCAAGGCCAACTTTGTACGGACTTTAATTTGTCTACGAATCGCGATTTGTCTGCCTCACTTATCTGTCGTGAAACTCAGATGCCTTAAACCATTTGTGTACAAGTCTTTCATTATTTGACGCAAGAAGTTACAATCAATTATCTTTATATTGGAGTCTCATTATACTATCGATCTATCTATCTATCTATCTATCTATCTATCTATCTATCTATCTATCTCTGATTATATTTATCTAGCTATCTATCTATTTCGGTCTGATAATATCTATATATCTATCTATTTCGATCTGAATCTATATATCTATCTATCTATCTATGATAATATCTAATTATCTTTGATTATATTTATCTATCTATTTAGATATGATAATATCTATCTATCTATCTATCTATCTATCTATCTATCTATCTATCTCGGTCTGTTAATATCTATCTATTTGTCTCGGTCTGATGCTAACTATATATCTATCTATTCATCTCCCATTATTTAACGCAATAATTTACAATCAATTAACTATATATTGTAGTATGATTATACAATCTATCTATCTATCTATCTATCTATCTATCTATCTATCTATCTATCTATCTCGGTCTGAATCTATCATCTTTATCTATTTATCTATTGATTTATATATATAATATATATATATCTATCTATCTATATAATATCTATTTTAATCATTTTCTTCTAAGCAAGGCCATAAATTATTTTATCATTATCTATCTATCTACCTAAGACAATTTCATGATCATGAGGGTCCCTTTTGTGTAATTGTTAATTTACCTGTCGGTCTGGATGTTAACTAAATATAAAATAAATTATATTTATTTATCTAAAATTGACAAAAGTAATTTAAAATTATTTAACACAAAATGTGTTTTACTATCAAACTTTTTTAATGTCTCTTTCTTTTTCAAATACGCAATTAATTTCAAACACACTTGGGTATATTAGTATAACTTCCGGTTTATTAAAATTTAAATTTATGTATCAGATATACTTAATAACAAGGTACATTGCAAATTAAAAAGATCTGTCTAAGGTCTCGGTTTAATAAAATTCTATCTATTTTTTCGTACGGCAAAATGTTTATTTTGGAACCAATGATATTCTAAAATCTTTGAGATTGTATCAAGAAGATCTATCTATCTAGTCTATCTATTAAGACAGCACTTATGATTAAAAGCAGATATTTCAACAGTGAAATGATGAGACCTACTTGCCAATTAGTATCTATACTAATCTCGTGTATCTCTTTATATCTCTCTCTCTCTATCTATCTATCTATCTATCTTGTTCTGATCATGACTATTTATCTGTCTCGGTCTGATGTTAACTATATATCTATATATTTATCTGACATTATTTAACGCAAGAATTAACTATCAAACATCTTTATAATGTACTGATTATACAATCTATCTATCTATCTATCTCGGTTTAATAATATTTATTTATGTATCTATCTACCTATCTATCTGTCTGTCTCGGTTTAATAATATCTATCTATCTCTACTTGATTATTTTTATCTATCTATCTATCTATCTATCTATCTATCTATCTATCTATCTATCTATCTCTATTTGATTATATCTATCTATCTATCTATCTGTCTCGGTTTAATAATATCTATCTATCTATCTATCTATCTATCTATCTCTGTTTAATAATATCTATCTATCTATCTGTCTCGGTTTAATAATATCTATCTATCTATCTATCTATCTATCTCTGTTTAATAATATCTATCTATCTATTTGTCTCGGTTTAATAATATCTATTTATCTATCTATCTATCTATCTCTACTTGATTCTATCTATCTATCTATCTATCTATCTATCTATCTATCTAATAATATCTATCTATCTATCTATCTATCTATCTATCTATCGCTATTTGATTATATCTATCTATCTATCTATCTATCTATCTATGTATCTATCTGTCTCGGTTTAATAATATCTATCTATCTATCTATCTCTACTTGATTCTATCTATCTATCTATCTATCTATCTATCTATCTATCTATCTGTCTGTCTCGGTTTAATAATATCTATCTATCTATCTATCTATCTATCTATCTATCTATCTATCTCTACTTGATTCTATCTATCTATCTATCTATCTATCTATCTATCTATCTATCTATCTATACTTGATTCTATCTATCTATCTATCTATCTATCTATCTATCTATCTATCTGTTTAATAATATCTATCTATCTATCTATCTATCTATCTATCTATCTATCTATCTATCTATCTGTTTAATAATATCTATCTATCTATCTATCTATCTATCTATCTATCTATACTTGATTCTATCTATCTATCTATCTATCTATCTATCTATCTGTTTAATAATATCTATCTATCTATCTATCTGTCTCGGTTTAATAATCTATCTATCTATCTATCTATCTATCTATCTATCTATCTATCTATCTATCTATCTTAGTATGCCTGTTAATGTCTATCTACGGCTTCACCTAACTCATTATTTCTCTTCGTGAAAGTCTCTTCTGCTATCTCTCGGAAGCTTTACATATTAATCCGATGTCTGTATTCATTGCGTGCTATGTAGATTAATTTACCAATCATGGGGCTTCTCTTGCCATTTCCACGTCAGCTTGTGTCGCTCAGTGCATCTCAAGTGTAAGAAACATTTAGCTTATGTGCGAACGTCATTTCCGTTCCCAAGTCAAACTCCTTCTCTTTCAGTAATGCAACTCTTGTTTGAAATACCAATGTTTACCTTTGTCACATTTTAATATCATATTCCTTGATTTCCTATCCTCATTATTGTTGTTTTCATTCAAATATTTCGGTCAGTGTATTCTACAGACTTCCTAATATCGTTTAAAATTAAGATATCCACGGTCATTATTTTATAGCTTTTTATTGTTGACCCGATACAAGGCTCAAGAGCCAATCAATGTCGGCGGTTGGAATGTCGAACTGAACCCTTTATTTCTGTCTACTGTTCTAGTTCCACGTGCTATGTCTAATGGATGTCAGTTATCAGTTATCTCCTGTTAATTCCCCTCTCCAAGTTCTCCACCGCCTTAACCAGGTATCAAACTCACACTCTTTGAGTCCTCTCACTGGATCTAACTAACGTCTTTATCCACTGTGTCATGCGTCCTTGAGCATACATCGGCCGAAACGTTGTAATAAATATGGCGACAAAGATGAGGACAATAGTCCGAATAATGTAAATAGTGTACATAATATCTCATCTCAAAAATATAGACAGATACTGAAAGGCCGAAACGTTGTAATAAATATGGCGACAAAGATGAGAACAATAGTTCGAATAATGTAAATAGTGTACATAATATCTCATCTCAAAAATATAGACAGATACTGAAAGGCCGAAACGTTGTAATAAATATGGCGTCAAAGATGAAGACAATAGTCCGAATAATGTAAATAGTGTACATAATACCTCATCTCAGAAATATAGACAATTAGTTAAATGTAACCGCCACTTCCATCCAACATTTTCCTTTCTCGCACTTCCCGCCTTTCCGTTAACTTGCTTCCCTGATAACTACAATAGTCAAAAAATTAAATGCAACGTCAATTGCCCTGTTCTGTTTTCTTGAATTACATTTCATATTTTGTCCTTTCATCAATTTTCCCCATACTCTGTTGCCTCTTTTATTTTCCCTCACTGTAAGCGCCTTCCTACTAGTGGCATACTCGTCTTTCGTGTGATAGAATAATTAAAAGAAAATTAGCAACAGATCGTATATATAAATTCCATTTGAAGTCTGGGGTGAATTTGTGTTCGAATAGGCGTTCGAGACAAGAAGCATCCTTATGATAGTTCAGGATCTGCTAGATGATGGAGGAACGTCTGATTTTTAGACGTGTATCTGGAAACCGTTTTATCATCCTGTGGCGGACATGAGACAGAACCTGGGACGAGCACAACTGGTCGTGACTTGGCTTGTCCCCGCCAAAAAAGAGCCCGTATTTGCTTAGCATGTAAAGCTACTGCAGTTGAAATGAGGGAGAAAAAAGTACTTACCACTCTGCCGTAATCCGTCCTCGGCCAGATAACGTAAAAGAATGAGGGGGGGGACTTGCATTGCGTTTTTATGCAATAAAGATGCAATGCATTATGGAACATGGACGCAATGAATTATGGGATCACATGAAGACGCAAGGGATTATGGGTATATGGACAACTATAAAAGCAACTACTTTTTTCCGAGTCGGGGAGTTCTTCGAGTGACGTTCATGGTTGGCGGTAAGAATAGGCAGTGTGATTTTGAGCTAGATTTTTAACGTAGCTACATTCTTTCTTATTCACATCCGCATAGATATTTACTAAGTATCGGCGTATGTACTTAGGTTGATCATTAGTATAGAGTAGAAACAGGAGATGACTAAGGAGAAGACCCTGAGAAACGCCGACATTGATCGTTAAAAAAAAATGGATTTTATAATTGATAATGTCTGGCTTGATTCTTTCCCGAGATTTCGTAGCTACTGAGTTTATACTATTTACATTATTCGGACTATTGTCCTCACCTTTGTCGCCATGTTTATCACAATGTTTCGGTCGTTGTACGCTCCGGCCTTCTTCAGGTGGTTGGAATGTCGAACTGAACCGTTTATTTCGCTCATAGGGGTAGACTTCTCTAGTTCCACGTGCCATGTCTAATGGATGTCAGTTATCAGTTATCTCTTGCTTAATTCCCTCTCCAAGTTCTCCACCGCCTTAACCAGGTATTGAACTCAGACGATTTGGGTCGTGTCACTGGTACAGTGGACAAAGGCGTTAGCTAGATCCAGCGTATAACGGTCGAAACGGTTGTAATAAACATGGCGACAAAGATGAGGACAATAGTCCGAATAATGTAAATAGTGTACATAATACTTCATCTCAGAAATATAGACAGATACTGAAAGGCCGAAACGTTGTAATAAATATGGTGACAAAGATGAGGACAATAGTCTGAATAATGTAAATAGTGTACATAATACCTCATCTCAGAAATCAAGACAGCTACTGAGTGTATGTAGCAGCCACTGATGTCACACCTTGTCAAAGGACTTATATATATATATATATATATATATATATATATATATATATATATATATATATATAGGATGATGGGATGGTTCTCGTGAATTATATGTCTTCAAAAACAGATAATATGCGTTGCTGGTCATTTTGCTTTAAAATGCATTTTTGGACATTTTACCAAAAATACGTAATGTTGGTCAATTTTTTAATAGAAAATGAATATATATATGTGTGTGTGTGTGAAAATATTCGTTCTATGAAAATTTATCGGACATTCGGGCCGGTAAATGTTATTTAATACTGTTTATTCTAAACAGAGCATTTACTTAATTACTTGTATCTATAAAAAGGAACGTTAAACATAAAAATGTCTTTAATAAATAAATTGTCGGACTTTGTCCATTTCTTAATATATATATATATATATATATATTTGCTGGGATTTTTCATAAGAAAATATATTTTTATAATTTTATTGTGATTTATTTGGGGTTTCACAATTTTCTCAGAACCGAGACCCTAACAGGTGCTACCACCACGGGTAAGTTTTCACCTAGAAACAACAGCAATTAATAGATGGTTCCAGACTCCTCAAAACCGTTCTTCCGATCAGTGGTCTTATCACCGAATGTAGATTATACTCCTGTGAGTAATGGAGGTGAAGACATCAGCTGTGGATCTGGTAAGG